GAGAGCGAGGGGGGCCCAGCGGCGACAACGCGCGCCGCACCCCCTTCTGGACTGCACCTGCCACTGCAGAGAGAGAGGGGGGCCCAGCGGCGACAACGCGCGCCGCAGCCCCTTCTGATGACAGGCTCTGGGAGCGTGAGTGAGTGAGTGAGTGAGTGAGTGGAGGGAGTGAGTGAGTGAGTGGAGTGAGTGAGTGGAGTGAGTGAGTGGAGTGGGTGAGTGGAGTGAGTGAGTGAGTGAGTGGAGTGATGGAGTGAGTGAGTGAGTGAGTGAGTGAGTGAGTGAGTGAGTGAGTGGAGTGAGTGAGTGTGTGAGTGAGTGAGTGCATGAGTGAGTGAGTGAGTGAGTGAGTGAGTGAGTGGAGTGAGTGGAGTGAGTGGAGTGAGTGGAGTGGAGTGAGTGAGTGAGTGAGTGTGAGTGAGTGAGTGAGTGAGTGAGTGAGTTAGTGGACGGAGGGAAGGAGGGAGGGATGGAGGGAGGGACGGGCGGGCGGAGTCGGGCGGGATGGCAGCCAAAAAACTAGAACCCCACACAGAGATGTGGGGAAAAATCAAAGAAAATTGCAGCTACAAGCAGCTGATTTTGCAGGCGGTGCTGCAACATAGGCTATACAGGCAGTAGCCTTCAGTGGGGCAAAACCACAAACCTAACCACCGACCAGAACAAAAGCTTGCAAAAGCTATGTGCAAATGTGAAGTATACATTGTAATGCCCATCTGGCTGGTGCACCATATTCAAAAACGATGGCTTGAGCATCTTCATCACCATCCAAAGTGTGTCGCCAATGATATACGGGTTTGCCACTTCCATTTGCAGCTGCTCACCATTTGCAGGCTGTGATGACATGGCTGCACTCTACAGGACTAGTATAGACCAACACTTTGCATGTGTATCACACACTGCAAGAGCACATAGAATTGTAAATGTGCATGTGGATTATATGGTGTTCAATCATGAATTTCCAAGACAACAAAAGTATTTGAGCCTGTAAACGGTTATGACCTTGGATCCAAACTACTGAAACCCTGATTTCAAAATATCATAGTCTGTGGTTTTGAATTCAAATCACTGAATTCAAAATCAAATTCAGTGATTTTGAATTCAAATCCCTGAATTCAAAATCAAATTCTGCGATTTTGAATTCAAATCCCTGATTTCAAAATCATTTTCTGTGATTTTGAATTCAAGCCCCTGAATTCAAAATCAAATTCTGCGATTTTGAATTCAAATCCCTGAATTCAAAATCAAATTCTGCGATTTTGAATCAATTCCCTGAATTCAAAATCATTTTCTGTGAATTCAAATCATATGCTTTGAAATCGAAAACCAGCCTACACAGGCTAGAATGTATGCCTGTAGAGGCTGCCATTTTTGAGCCTATACAGGCTTCTTCACTGATCTCCAATACTTTTTTCATTCTTGAAAGTCTCTCGATGATGCACAGTCATGACAGATCTATTCTAGATCCACTTGTCATACGCCCTCCCACCATGCTGCTCAACCTGTTTGCTGAGCATCTCCATGGGCTTCCTCAGGCTATGGCGCTCTGCCAACCTTGTCAGCGCCTTCTTGCGGTACTTGATGTGTCCAGTCTTGTATGCATGGACAAGGGCGCAGGCTTTATTCATCCAACCACGAGGCACATCATTCTCAGGGTCCTGAGTTGATAGATCATAGACACATACACTTGACTTGAGAATCTAATTTTTTATTTATGTTAATGTGTATATTTTGAGCTTTGACCAAATACATACTCAATGATGAAATACATTCAAGGTACAGTGTAGTCCCTCCACCTTGACCAGTTTGAATTGCCCCATGGTGCAACTGCAAGGCATGCCATGAATCTGCGCAACACCTGGTGTTTGAGTGTGCTTGTTCTCGCCACACATTGTGATTTGAACCACCAAGCCACACACGCCAAACTTATAGCCTTTGGAATGCTGGCTCCACAAGCGCCTTCACGGGCAAAACCTTGCATCAGCTGGCAACCAAAAGGACTCATTGAGCATACACCCGCTGAATATGACTTCATGGGCAGAAGCTTTCATCAGCTGGCAACCAAAAAAATATTCATTGTAGTGAGCATACATTTGCTTAAGATAAACCAGCTTCCAATGTTGAAACAACTTGTGCAAGCTATATCTTATGCGGCACACAAACACAAATTTCTTTTAGTGAAAACTTGAAAACCTTTAGCGAGCATAAAATAGATTTGCTAAAACGTTTTTTTTGATATCTGTATCTTACATTACTTTTTACTAACTTCTTTAAACTTTTAAGACAATTAAACATGTTACTGTAAAAGTTAAAAAACATTAGATAACTCACTTAACCAACAATAAACTTTGAAGCAAGTATAACAGGTTATAACAAGTTATAACACCTTGTTAGTGAGTTATAATATCCTTGTAGTGTATGTAGTAATAGTCTTAACAGCCAGAACTCAGTAGCAAAACCAGCAGCTTCAAAGTAGCTCAGAGCTTCAGAAGTCGGATTCAGACGCACGCGAGGAATTACGACTCTTGGCACTGTTGGCAGGCAGTGGCGTGTGTTACCGCGCGTTCCGCTATTTTGGGCATTTTTGGAATCCCCAAAATCACACGCTTTGCAAGATGCACGTGGCAAAGCGCCAGTGTGCCGGAGCCCCCATTTGGCAGGGTGATTCTGTGGAAGAAGTAACCAGGACCCACAAAGACGTCGTAGCCGATTGCTCATCCACTGTTTCCAACAGTGAGCAGAGGAGGGTGCAAGTCCAGCTTGATGGTGGATTGATCCTCTCCTCAGAGCTTTTCTCTTTTTCTGATTAGGTTGGCGCTCGAACACCATCTGAAACCCCATCATGTGCACTCCTGTCTCACCTTTTCTAACGGCCATCGCTATGGCTACTAGGCTACAAACCACTCCTACTTGAGTTGGAGGCCATTGCTACTTGGATGGAGGCCATTGCTACTAGGGTGGAGGCCATCGCAACTATGTGGAGGCCATTGCTACTATAGGGTTGAGTGGGGTGGGGAGATGAGGTAGGCCCTCGGGTCAAAGGTCCGAGGGATCTCCCGATCACGGCTCTTTGCGCCGCAGAGGCAGTCGGTCTTATTATATCCAACGTAGGTTGATGGGCGTCGCTATTCGGTGGAGGCCATCGCCAGTGAACGCGTGTCTGTTTGGCGGTCTGGGTTCTTTTTGCTTCGGCAGCGGGTCTACTTGGCTCAAAAAGCTATAGTTTGCGCGAAGCTCCGGACTGGTGCATTAAGATCATAAAATATACACAATCGGTGCAAAAGCCATTCCAGCTTTGACCCGCCCAAATATCGAAGCCCTTGCTTTGTTCACCACTGCGCGTACCCAAACATGTGCGCTCAGAGATTCTCAAACATGACCCGGCGGGCGTTTCACGGATGCCGGCGTTGTTGCAGGTGTTCGTCTTGTGTCGTTTCTGCTGTCGCAACGGCGCCGCTAGAAACATCAACTGCAATTGAGTTGCTTTCGGCGCTCCAATTGCGCATTGCAGCTGCTTGCTTTAGTTTTTGCTTTAGTTTTGAGGTGAAAACGGACGAAAGTAAGGGGTGGGGGGGCTCAAGACTTTTTTATATGGACAAAGCAATCCCAATCAAGAATCTCTGTCCAATTTCAATTTACAAGTCTTCTTCTGGGAGCGATTTCTGATGTGGCCAGTATATTATTGTATTTATATGGTTTTTACAATTTGCAGAGGGTGTTTTGTCAGCTGCTCAACTAGGTGCTTCCATTTTGTTTGCCGGCGCCTAGTCGCAATTGGCAGGTCTTGATTGGAGCAGATTGGCCTGGGTGCATCGGCCTCGGAGTCGATTGCCCTGTTGTCGTGCTTCTACGCGCGCAAATGTGCGTTTTCAGCCTAGCTTTGGGGGAACAGCGAGAGAGGCAACAAGCAACCCATTCTAATTACTTTATCAGACACATGAAATAGAAAGCCAGGAGCAATGTAGAAATTCGCGGTGCCAAGAGCTTGAAGGACGCTAGTCAATGCGTGTCTGTCTGGGGGGCCTGGTGCTTTTTGCCTTGGCAGCGGGTCCGGTGGAACAAAAAGTGGCAAAGCTAACGCTCAAAAAGGTCTTTCTGAAGCTGATTAGCCCAATTGTGGCGTGTTTTACGCTCCCGCTGACAGATTGCACCAAAATGTCCATTTTCATGCCAGGCCATCCGCCAGGACATCTCGGCCAAAAACCTCATGGTCGAGGCTTGGTCCGAAGGCACCGCAACTCATCCTTGCCTCGCAACAGCAAAGGCCAGATCACAGCGGGCACTCCCGGATCTCAACAATAAGCGCCGGATCGCGATAGGCGCCCCCGCACCTCAACAGCACAAGCGCAACCGCAAACACAGCCGCAGACACAACCACAAGCGCAGCCACAAACACTACCACAAACGCAACGGCAAACAAAGCCACAAACACAACCACAAACCCAAACATAGCCGCGCACACACAGCCACAAACACAACCACAAACGTAACCACGAACACAAACGCAACCACAGACACAGCCACAAACACAGACACAGCCACAATCACAACCACACGGCCATAAAGACAACCACTGCATCCAGAACAGCAAGAGCGGCAGGCAATGAAGGAACAATCAAAAATAGACGAAGTGAAAAGAAGGAAAGTACTGACACGTCTAAAGGGTCAAAAGGAATGAAGCAAAGACACTTTGAAAATCATAGAATCGTGAAAGGGCCTCCACCCTAGTAACTAGTAGCGATGACCTCCAACCTAATAACGTTCTTGTCTCAACTTTGAAAAGGGCGGAGTGCTTGTTCTACAGTTTGAACTGCCGATGCCTGAGGGCTACGTGGCTGCAGAGCTTGCGCGTGTTGCCAAGATCTCTGTCTCCCTGGCCTCTGAAAAGAAGGCAGCAGAAACATGTTCGTTGTTTTTCTGGACCTTTTTCCTTGTTAAACACAATTTCTGTAAAAGGTAACGTTCGTTTGCCTCAGCCTTTCGTGGAGAAAACATATCCCATTGGTTCAGAAGCAGTTCCCTGCGGAAAGAATCTGATTCAATCCATTGCGAGGCCGAATTAGAGGAAAAACTGAAGATTTTGGGCATCTTCCACGAGGCAAACACCAAGGAGGAACTTTGAGGCGAGTTTTCTTTCATTTGAAATATTTTGGATCACTATCATGCTTGAGATTTTGAAATTCACCGAAGCAATAAGGGGAATTCATTGTCCAATGTGGTTCACTCGTTTACCCATTTTGGAATGGTTGGTTAGGATTTTGTCGGAACATATTCTTTGTAATTGTAAGAATTGGCAGAGGCCTCCAACCTAATAGCGATTGCCTATTGACCAGTTCAGGGGTTCCCTGTCAGTCTATTTTAGCCTATGTTTGATGTTCAGCTGCGAGTTCTTTGGGTGCTGCGACCCGTAAATATGAGGTACTGTCGACATTTGCCAATATTGATTTTCAACATGGGTTCCATTTGTTTGTTGATATAAAGGCAAGTTCAAACCATTATCAACATTCGAGCAGCCGGTCGGTCCTTCCCTTGGCATATTATTGGTCATTGTCAATCATCAACATCATCAACCAGTCATGATGAAGTATTGTCTACTTCCTAGTTGTGACATAGCCTTTGAAATAGAGTTTTTGTGGCTAAAGGCCAACAACCACCGTTTTCGTTCGTCATCTAACCAGTATATGTCACCCCATTCAGTAAGTATTCTTGGTTTATAGCCATGACACTGCTGATGCAGAAAATCCTGCACCTGGTGGTAAGTAAACACCAGATTTAGTTGTAGGGTTGAATATATTTAATATCCCGACATCAACAGTATCGGGGTAGTTTGGGATATCCCAACGATCATAGTACAACTGAGCAAACATGTGTGAATGTCCCAAGAGTTGGGAACCTCAAAATGACGTTCTTAGCGGGACAATGATTGATGGGGTCCTAGTAATAAGCCCAAAAATAGTGTTTTCCACTTGACTTGGGCTTAGTGTTGGAGGCTTCTTGTAAGCTTCAGCCGATTTGGATTCATGATATCCGCTGCTAGGACGTTTGAGTGACCAATAGCGATGGCCTCCAACCTAGTCTTTTAGAATACCAAAAACGGCAACCCATGAGTTCACCCGTAGAAACAATAGAAACAACCTGATGTAACATGTAATAGCGATGGCCTCCATCCTAAGAACGATGGCCGTTCAGTTCCATTCATGTTCACAGCTGTGTCTCGGAGTCGCTCTCTCGCTCGAGCCAGATTCAGACGGTGGAGGCGAGGTTGGTGGGGACTCGTTGCGACCACGCGAAGGGAGGTTTTGAACTAGTTCTTTTTGAGGTTGGAGGCCATCGCTGGTACTAAAACCGTGGGACAAACCAAAGATATTGGGGACCATAAAAGCTAAGTTTAAGAAGATAGGGAAAATCTCCGGTTTTCTTGGGGGTTGGCAACCGTGACGCTGTGGCTTCAACATGCAAAGTGCACCCCATCAGCACTCTGTCAACGACGTTGAGAAGTGTGATGTTGATGCGAAGCGAACATAGCGAACATTGTTCCTAATAGCGAACCTTGTTACTACTAGTAAGGCACTTGTTACTAGAAGCGATGCACTTGTTACTAGTAGCTTCTTGTTAAGATAGATCCCGGGATTTGGTCAGTGGAGTATTCTGTCCTTTTTCCTTTGGGTGGTTTTCTTAGTCTTTTCTTTGGACCTTGTTTTCATGTCATGTTGATTTTTGGCTTTCGTTAGACCTCTCGCTTTTGGTTTGGACAAGTACTTGCAAATTTTCTTGAGGAAGCCATGAGAGATTCGGCGAATTGGCAACCAGCATGTTGGCGAACTGGCCCAGTCTGTTTCGCCTTTGCTTCGACTCGACGAGTCTCGACTTGTCGACATCGGAATTGGTTGGAACTTGTCGGCTGGGCTTCGTGAATGGCATGGAGACTAGTAGCGTTCTTGTTCCTAGTAGCGATGCCCTTTGTGATGGCATGGAGAATTGAATCCAGAAGCTTTTGATGAAGGAATAAAGCATGTCAACATTGCATATTGAAACAGTCAGGCCACTTGAATTGCTGACGACACTTTTGCTTGCAAAGCATGTAGAAGCACTACGGAATGCATACCTTGCTGAAAAGACCTGTTGGTTTCTAAATGCAAACGGTCTCAGAACGTTTCTCAAACCGGATGGAATCCTATGGATTGAATGCCTTCTTTGTAGAAACCCTACTCTCCATGTGAGGCCTTTCAGTGAGACGAGGCCGAGTACTCAGCGTTGCCTGAAGAAAGGAACAACGAAGAGAGAATGGCTTGAGGATCCTACTAGCAATGGCCTCCAACCTAATAGCACAAAAAGATAATTGTTTAAAGGTCAAACAAAAGGGACAGTGTAGATCGATGTATTCTTGCAAGGCATTCCAGTGTGAAGTTTTCTGCAAAGTCAGAACAAGAGTGACAGTTGAGCTCTTCGCTACTGCATACTTTCGGGCTGCAATCCACTAGTGGGCATGATTTCGGGTGTTGCCTGACCACAGATGAGCACAATTGTTTGAAAAAGTCAAAGTCACCAAGAACGATGCATGCATGCACAAAAAAATACACCGCGCAAGTAGAAGCATTTGCAAGGGCGGTGTCGAAGTGCCTTTAGCTTGCTTCCTCCCGACGACTTCTACTACTCCTACTGCTGCTGCTGCTGCTTTCAAGGGTTCTACGTTTGGAATGCATTGAACCAATGAAAGCTCCAACCTAGTAGCGATGGCCTCCTCAATAAAGGCTCCACACGTTTTTGCGGAAACTGAGGGCGTCAAGCTCCAAGGGAGATCCACCTGGAGACGGAGAGTGCCGAGAGGTCAGTCAGTTCGATCGGTTTGGTCCATTGGATCCCAAACCGAGAGACACATCCGACAGCCAGCACTTCCCAAAAAGTGGGCGAGCGGTAGCGAGTGAAGGGTCACCAACCTAGTAGCGTCCGATCGCTCCTAGTATTAAGGCCAGGAGCCCCGAACGTAGCGTCCTTGCTCCTAGTAGCGATGCCAGGAGCCCCTAGTAGCGAACATTGCTACTACTTGCTGATTTTAGAAACTGCCGGGTCTCGGAAATTGAGTGACAGAAGTGTTTGGACGTTTCACAGCTTGGAGAAGGAGTGAATTGGGAGGGCACCGTCGTTCATTCTTCAGAGCGTGGGTCGAAGGTCAGATTGATCATTTGCGACGCCAATGTTCCCTTTCTTTTGGTGAATCCAAAAAGCATCACGCAGGAGTAATCCCACAAGTAAACACTAGGTTGGAGGCCATCGCTATTACATCGTTGGGAAGAAACGGATCTACGCAAAAGAAATGGGAGTTCTCGCTTGTACCAAGAGGGTGGTGATTGAGTCTCCTGATGTCCATTGCCTCGCTGAACACGGGTGCTCTTTGAGAGAAAACAACATAACCAAAACAAACCATACAGTTGCAAACATCATTATATAAATGTGTTTGCAAAGCTTACGGAACATGGTTTTTTTTTTTCAGTTTTGCATTCTCCCCAAGACCTCATGCGAGGAAAAGAACAAATCTCAATGGTGCGCTACTAGAGGAACAAGAAGCTACTAGGGTCTCCTGGCATCGCTACTAGGAGCAAGGACGCTACTACGGGGCTCCTGGCATCGCTAGGAGCATTCTTACTACTAGTAACAATCCTCAAAGACGCCAATGCATCAAGATCAGTCCAAAGGGCTTCATGGCCTCGAACCTAGTAGCAAAAGGAAGCTAATAGGAATGGCCTCCAACCTAATAGCTTCTTGCTATTAGTAGTAATGGCCTCCACCCTAATAGCGGAATTGCTGGTTGTCAGCCATGGAATTACCTGCAATGGATGAAGATGAGGCGCACTATTCAATACCTGCTGGCAAGCATGCGCGAGAGAGAAGGAACAAGTGTCGGAGGTGAAACAGTTTTGTAGTGTTTGTTGAAAGCAAACGGGGCAAGGAAGGTCATGCTGGAAGAAGACCGTTTGAAATTTGTTTGTGCTTGCTAGTAGGTTGAATGGCAAGGATTAGTGTAGAGAAACCAAAAGGAAGAATGAAAGGAAAGCCGCATGAACAAAAAGATTTTTGAAAGATGTGACTTGAAACATGTTCGGATAGCATTTACCCCCAGATGAGGGTTATTATTCTTCGCGACACTTTAGGAGCTAGCTCTTGGCCCTTGCTAGGCATGATATGTTTCCTGGACTTAATTCACCTTTATTGTCTTGAGTTCTTTTCTGTGTCTTGTTGACATCTATACCTAACAAGCCTTGAGTTAATTTTGCTTTTACAGGTTCTTTTCGTTCTGTTCTAGTAATTACATACGAGGATGCAACAAAGTCTTGGTTCCAGAGAGTGTTCCTGCTCCCCATGAAGAAGAACGCGTTTGAAAGCGAATGTGTCTTTTGGAGGCGAACCAATGAAGAATGAGAGTGTTTCGGTGGGAGAAGCGCTCCCAGCCGTGGAGGCGAGAGATGATGTCCGACCTACCAACCGAAGTAAGAGCAATGGCCTCCAACCTAATAGCTTCTAGCTACTAATAGCTTCTTGTTACTAGTAAGGCACTCGTTACTAGAAGCGATGCACTTGTTACTAGTAGCTTCTTGTTCCTCGAACCTTGCATCCTCTGACATCCTTGCAGGGTTTCGGCAAACTAGACATTTTGCCCTCCAGATTAGTGCAAGGCCACCCAAGAGAGCTCATGGGGCGATGCAGAGGTGGCTCCAAAATGCAAATGACAGTTCAAAGTGGAGTGCTCGTTGTTCTTTTTTTGATTTTTCCAATCGTAATCATTAGCTGCAGTCTTGCATTACAATTGTGCTATTGTAGTTATTGCACACAACACAACTCTTGGAACGCTTACAAACCCTTACAGCCAGTTTAAGTGGTCCTTGGAGGCCACCAGGTCGGCTCCAGCAACAGCTGCAGGATGCTGTGACGCAGGAGAATCTCATGGGTTCGTGGGCGCATGAAACACACTCAACTAGGAGCAAGGGCGCTACTAGGGGCTCCTGGCCTTACTGCTAGGAGCAAGGGCATTGCTACTAGTAACAAAGGGCATTACTACATTACCACTAGTAGCATTCTTACTACTAGTAACAAGAAGCTACTAATAGCAATGGCCTCCAACCTACTAGTGATGGCCTCCAACCTACAGCGATTGTGTTGCATGAAAGTACATTGCCCATACAGAAACCTGCGCGCGATGTCAGAAGTTCTTGGAAACTGGCCTCATAAGCATATCTCAATTGAAGCAAGATGGAGCACCTAGGAGCAAAGGGCATTGCTACTAGGAGCAAGGACGCTACTAAGAAGCTACTAGGAGCAAGAACGCTGTTAGTAACTCCTGGCCTTACTACTAGTAACAAGAAGCTACTAGGAACAAGGGCATCGCTACTAGGAGCAAGAACGCTACTAGTAAGTCCTGGCCTTACTACTAGTAACAAGAAGCTACTAGGAGCAAAGGGCATCGCTACTAGGAGCAAGAACGCTAGTAGTAAGTCCTGGCCTTACTACTAGGAACAAGAAGCTACTAGGAGCAAAGGGCATCGCTACTAGGAGCAAGAACGCTAGTAGTAAGTCCTGGCCTTACTACTAGGAACAAGAAGCTACTAGGAACAAGGGCATCGCTACTAGTAGCAAAAGGTGTTGGATTCTCGAAGGAGCTTCCAGTGCGACAGTTGCAGCAGCTACTTTCGCGCTGTGCCAGCGCCAGGGAATATCCAAGCAGAGAAACCAGTGAGGCACAACACTCGTGGAAGCAATCGTAGAACAAGTCGCGAACGCTTGAAGGCGGTCAAAGACATTGTTAGGTAGCTCTATTGAAGGTTGATCTTGAACCATGGTTCATTATGGTTTTTGATCTGTGTCAGACATTCAAGCGTCAGACGACTGTGATTTGTTTATTTTTGTTGTCAAAGCACAAGGGTCTCTATTTTCAAGAGTCTACTGGAAATGTTGTACCGCTGTGCTTTTACGATCTGCGCTTGGGCAAGAGCTTGGGCAAGAATCAAACTGAAAACTGCCATTTGGAGCCCGTGTTTCTCGAGAATCTTTCCAATCGGAAGGGTTTTGATTGCCCGTCATGGCCGTCAGGGCATGGCTTCCTTGTTGGTTTGGGAAGATTTCAAGGCCCAAACGTGACGAGAATTTGAGAGTGAATCCCACACAAAACCAGATGCATAGGTCAATTGGAGCAGTATGGATTAGTTGTGGAGATAGAGATAGCAGACACTTCGCAATCGGCTGTGGTTTGATTCACCAGACGCTGCTTGGGCTCGCTCATGCAGTGATGCTCCTGCAACGAGGAGCCACGAGGACCACATCAAAACCGGTCAACTGGAGCGAAGACAGCGAAGCGAACATAGCGAACATTGTTCCTAATA